GGAAACTTCAATAATCTTAATAATTTTAGCACACAAAATTTAGAAGAGAGCCAGTTCTTTAGAACAAACATTATAATTCCCAAATGCACTGTGGAGGAGCCTGAGGGCCTGGCCCACTTCAGAGGAATCACAGAAGCACTGTAACGCCCCCAACAGCCCAGCATCTATCCAGATGAACACCATCCAGGGAACAGTGCTCTTTGTACAAATCTGTGTTCCGTTCTACCCTTCAGAGGTAGAACTCAGGCCCCTGATATTGTCCATGGGTCATGAGAGCAAAATTGGCCCCACTTCCAAGTCCAGGACCTGGAGCCTTGGGACAGAGTGAAAATTGTCATCATGGTGGGGGACAGAAGTAAGAAGCAGCCCTGACCATAAACAGAGAAGCACTCGCTTACTGTGTAGTGGTTGGAATGAAAATGGCCCCCATAGGCTCATAAGGGAGTGGCACTATTAGGAGGTGTGGCCTTGTTGGAGTAGGTGTGGCCTTGTTGGAAGAAGTGTGTCACTGCAAAGGCAGGCTTTGAGGTTTCAAATGCTCAAACCAGGCCCAGTGTCATTCTCTCTTCCTGCTGCCTGTGTATACAAATGTAGAACTCTTAGCTCCTCTCCAATACCATGTCTGCCTATGCATGGCCATGCTTCCCACCATGACAGTAATGGACTAAACCTCTGAACCTGTAAGCCATCTCCAATCAAATGTCTTCCTGTATAAGAGTTGTCATAGTCAACCCTGTATGGGTCTGAGCTAGGTCCTCTGCATATAGCTTATGGCTGTGTAGCTTGGTGTTCTTGCTGGGACTCCCAACAATGGAAATAGAGGGGTATCTCTGACTCTTTTTCCTGAGCTTGTGACCCTTTTCCTCCAACTGAATTGCCACGTCCAGTCTTGATATAAGGGTTTATGCCCAGACTTATTCTATCTTGTTAGGCCATGTCCAGTAGATATCCACGAGAGGCCTGCTCTCTCTCTCTCTCTCTCTCTCTCTCTCTCTCTCTCTCTCTCTCTCTCTCTCTCTCTCTCTCTCTCTCTCTCTCTCTCTCTCTCTCCCCAAGGGAAATAAAAGAGGAGTTGATCTGATCTGAGGGAAAGGGGAGGTGGGGAGAGGAACTGGAAGGAGTGGGAAGGGAAACTGCTGTTGTCGTGGTCCTGGTGTCTATTCATAGCAGTAAAACCCTAAGATATACTGCCTACATACTAGGGGCTACAGCAACCGTAGGAGTGAGGACTTGGGCAAGATGGCTGTTGGAGATTTCGGTTTCCTTCACTAACATATCTTCTAAAAGCCCCCTCTGACATTCTGCCCTGTGTGGGTCCTAATGGCTCTTCCTCCCTCTTCCATCTTCTACCTAGGGGTTCCTACTCATTGGCCCAGTCCATGTATCTCTTCCACACAGTGGTTATGTCTAATTTGCTTTCCCCTCAAATCCCAGGCTACTGTGCAAAACCGATTCCTTCCGTGATGGTTTTCTGAGGGCCAGAGCCTGGATAGACTTCTGAGTGGCCCAGGCCCAGGCTCAGACAGCAGAGATGGACCACTAAGCATGTGGATTCCTGGCAGACAAATTACATCACTCTGAAATCTGTCCTATCTGTTAGAGTTCCCAGGATCCATTTCAAATTAACATTTCTATGGTGGTCCTATTCTGTCTTACATCTAGTGCTAGACTTGGAAATGTCAAAAGTACATGGGAAGCTCCCAGGACTCCAGCTCCATTCCTGAGCACTTCTACCCCTTCTGTCCCAAATAAGGAGAGGACTTTTGTCATGGGATGATCTTTTTGTACACTGTAAAGATGTGCCTTTGCCAAGGCACCTTCTGATTGGTTTAATAAAGAGCTTAATGGCCAATAGGCAGGAGAGAATAGGCAGGACTTCCTAGGAGAGAGGGGAACTGGAGATGAATCTAGGTATGGAAGAGAGACACCAGTGAGACCCTGAAGAAGTCAGACATACGGTACAGAGGAAAGGTAACCAAGCAATGTGGCAGAACACAGATTACTAGAAACGTTCATTTAAGTTATAAGAGTTAGTTGGGAAAAAAGGCTAAACCAAGGCCAAGCTTTCATAATTAATAATAAGTCTCCGTGTCATTATTTGTGAGATGGAGGCCCAAAGTCTGGTAATATGTGGCAGGACACGTATTACCTATATTTGTGGGTAGCTACAGCTGCTGTGTATAGAGATGGACCAGGGCAGGGTTAGCAAGGCGCTTTTCCCCATTCATACAGAAGAGTCCACTCAATGGGTGGGTTCAGGCACCCTTTACTGTCCTTTTCCCCATTCATACAGAAGAGTCCACTCAATGGGTGGGTTCAGGCACCCTTTACTGTCCTTTTCCCCATTCATACAGAAGAGTCCACTCAATGGGTGGGTTCAGGCACCCTTTACTGTCCTTTTCCCCATTCATACAGAAGAGTCCACTCAATGGGTGGGTTCAGGCACCCTTTACTGTCCTTTTCCCCATTCATACAGAAGAGTCCACTCAATGGGTGGGTTCAGGCACCCTCTGCTGTCCTCCCACAGGACAGGGCAGGGCACACACTAGAACAGTAGAGGTTTTGGAGAATGAGACCTCCAGGCTGTGCCCAGCTGAACCCAGTTCTCCAGCCGGGGCTTATAGAGGCATGTGAAACACACCTAGCTTCTACTAAGCTTACCTCTGCCTTCTTCCCTGTTCTTCATCTAGGTCTCTCTTAGGGCCTAAGGGTAGTGGTTGCTAGAGTTCCATTTATCCAGCAGGAATATAACAATGTTTGTTAAGCACCTACTATGTTTCAACTCCCAGACACGGACAATGCTATATCGTACAAATGCAGTCCCTGTTCCCAAGAGGTGTACAACTAAGGAGGAAAGGAAGCAGCCAGGCAACAGAGACTGCCCATGTCCTGAAGGCCTTATCACTCTGGCACACCCTCCTCTCCACCCCCCAAAAGATGCTACACACGCTAATGTAGCTAAGAGAAGAAACAATGGTTTCTGGAATTCTGGAAGGCAACTGGAAAGTGAGATTGGATCTCAGGAGAGATGACTACAAGCAGGAGCTTTCTGGAAATCTGCCCACTTGGCTTTAAGTGCCATTAAACCTGACACAGAAAGTACTAAAGGGTCTTGGAGCTCACAGGGAGCAGGAAGAGTAGGACACGCCCCTCAAGTTTGCCCCTCCCCTCGGGCTTGCTCCTCACATACGCCAACCCCACCGGAGATTCACTCAGCACAGGAAGCTGCTCCCACTCAGAACATATCCTACTTAAGGAATGCAGACACCAGCCCACCTGCTCCCTTCAGCCCTCCCTAGAGCAATGATGCTGACGCCATGGAATGTTCCTGTTCCAGGCAGCATCGGAGACCATGGGGAGGAGATAGCCCGTCACTATGCACCATTGTACACAGCAAATCATAGGCTCCAACTCACTGTGGTTTATTTTCCTAATTCAATGCAAGACTTCAGGCGTCTGCAGACTGGGAATATAGCTTGATGGCGGAACACTTCCCTATTACGTATATATATATAAATACTTTTTAAATGTGCCCATGTGCACTCTATGGGGTTGGACAAGGTAGTTAAGAAACAGACTGTACAGACTGGAGAGATGGTTCACTCGTTAAAAGCACCTGCTGTACAACCATGAGGACCTGAGTTCGGACCCTAGCACCTACATAAGCCACCAGGTGAAGTCTCATGACCACCTGTAACCCCAGTGTTATGGAGACAGACAGGAGGATGCTGGGGCTTTCTAACTGCCAACATAGCTGATGAAAAACACAAGCTACAGGTTCCAGGGAGTGACACTGCCTCCGAGGGAAAGGCCAAAAGGGCTAGAGGACACTCGGTGGCCTTGTCTGGCTCCCTTGTGCACACAGGTGTGAGCACCTGCAAACACACACACACATACACACACACGCACACACGCACACACGCGTGTGCCACAGGCACACATATGAACACAATAGGAAAATGAGAGTAGCAGGTCAGGGCACCACCACTCTATCCTAGTAAAAGATGCTGCTGCTGTTTGCTTTCTGGTGATGTGGGAAAAGTTCACCTCTTTGGCTCCAGTATTCTCACCTATAAAATGGGAATTACACTGGCAGTTCCTATCCCACTGGGTATTACAGCAATTAAATGAAATAATTCATTAAAGCAATAAAAATTAACCTTTATTGTTATCATCTTTAATTGCAGAAAGAGCCCCACCAGCCAGTACTCAGTACTCAGTACTCAGGGACCTGATGCACTTGGGTGGCAAGTTCAAGGCCATGAGCTAGTTCCAGTCTAATATGGATTACAAAATGACACCCTGCCATGAGGGGGAGGAGGGAGAGAGGGAGGGAGGGAGGGAGGGAGAGAGAGAGACAGTGAGGGAGGGACAAAGGGATGGAGAAAGGAAAGGGGAGAAAGCTCAGACTCCCACAGAGACATTTACACACACACACACACACACACACACACACACACAGTTTCTTCACACTCCATCTCACTCCTTTTGACACCAGGAGGCCCCTCTCTACTTTGTCATGGAAACATCCCTGACAAATCCCACCATCTCTCCAGTTCCTTATGTGTGCTCTGTGTTCGTGAGAACAACTTGACTGTTACACTCAGCCCCTGAGTTTGCCGGCTCCACGCAACCAAGACCGTTTCACTCACAGTCCCTGAGAGTCAAGGCTGGGGGTGTCCCACTCCATAAAGTCATTCAGGGACTCAAGGCTTCATCTTGATTGCTGTAGCCTTGCTGGGCCTTGGAGTTCCTGTCCAGCCAGAAGCCAGAGAGAGGGAGATAGAAGGAGTAATGGAGGGAGGGAGGGAGGGAGGGAGGGAGGGAGGAGGGACGGACGGACGGACGGACGGACGGACGGACGGACGGACGGACGGACAGAGACAGACGGGCAGAGGACCACAAAGCTTGTCTTTCCAGCTATCCCATCTTCTAATATCAGGCCTTATCTCGTGACCCTATCTTATTGTGGCAAAATCTCAGAAATGATAGCCTTTGGATGGCCAAGAGGGAACCAGAGTCCTTCATTTGATAAGCATTGTATCCTGCTGCCTACTCTGGAAGCAGAGACCCCTCTGGGAGGTAATGTAAGTGTTTTCTTCCACGAATGCTCTCAGAAAACAGGCTGAAGGTGACACTCCATGTATTTTGCTTCCAGTCCTGTCACAGATAGCACCCTGTCCCATGGGGCAGCAGATATAAGGTCTTCCGTGGAACAGCCGGGTTCAATCTTCTGCTTCCCCAAGCCTTGTGAAAGCAGGCCTCCTAGTGAAAATCCCTGATTTGCAAGGCAGACCTGGCAAATGCATGGAGTCTGAGAACAGCAGACAACACATTAGGTGGAAGGATTCGGATTGTCCTTGCTCTCCTCTCCCAGCTTGCTATGCCCCAACCACACGCTGTCACCCTCCAAGGCCCCAGGGAGAGGCAGAGTCAAGGCTGTGGTGAGTACTCCGGTTAGTTTTGCAGCAGCCCACCTGCCTGCAATTTGGTCCCCTGAGGAGGGAATGAAGAGCAAGATGGGCAGTTTCTTAATGTCTGTCAAGCAAACAAAAACATCTCTACACCCTCAGCTTCCACCCCACCCCAATTCCAGCCCCATGTTTTTCATTCTTGGACCCCACTCTCAATGTGCTCCCCAACACTTCATCCTCAACCATCCAGAAGGCCTGTGGGTGCTAGGAACAACCACTGTGGGAAGTGGGTTGTTTCGTAATCTCCTCCAGACGCTTCCCTAACTGCAAACCCACTGGGGACATGTTCTCAAACAAGAGGCTGTTCCCAACCAAACAGAAATAAGGGCTTCCGCTTTCTCCGTGTCGTACCTCTCTCCTGTCTCCTTGCTCACGTTTTTTGTGACACAGTCACTGGAGAACAAAAAGCGACGCCCACCCGTCTACCCCTGGAAATGCCACCAGTCACCTACACGCCGCTCCGAGAGCAAGGGAGTCATTGTTCTCCTAGCAACCGAACTACCCCAGCTGTCCTCTGGCACTCGGACTGCCAGCCAGGGGGCGGGGGCGAGCAGTGTTGCTAAGAGAACCTGAGCTTGGGTTTAAATTTGCAATCTTTTGTTGTTGTTGTTGCCACTGCTTCCTTCAGCTTCAAACAGACACACACTCAGCACTGGGGTCCACAGAGCTGAGCCCCACCAGGAAATCCCCGGCTGCCAGTACCCTGCTGTAATGCTTCCCAGCCTCCACCTCCTACCTCTATCTCGCAGGAATTTTAAATTGAACCTACCCACACACATAAACGACAGCTAAGAAGAGCATGGTGCACTGGACTGAGCACCTAACTCCTTCCTGCAGGGCGGTGTCCTAGACTCGCCAACTCAGGAGCGAGCGCATACCTAGAGGAGGGAGGGTGATAAGCCAATCAGCAGATCCTCCATCATTCAGGCTCCTCCAGACTGGAACCAACAGGAAGAAGTTAGATTGTATGTAGATGCAGACTCTATATAAATGGAGATACAGATACATGGGGTCAGGGAGTGGATCCATTGGTAAATTGTTTGCTGCAGGCCATAAGAACCTGAGTCAGTCTCCAATACCAGTGAAAACAGAAAGGTATGGAAGTAACAGGGTGCCAGTAACCGTCTGGGAAAGTGGTTCTCAACCTATAGGTCATAACCCCTATGGGAGTCAAATGGCCTTTTCACAGGGGTTGCCTAAGAACATCCTTCATATTATGTATTTACATAGCAATTCATTAACACGTAGCAAAATTAAATTATGAAGTAGCAACAAAAATAATTTTGTGGTTGGGGGGATCACCACAACATGAGGAACTGTATTAGGGTCGCACCACTAGGGAGGTCACACCCTTAGGAAGGTTGAGAACCACTGGTCTAGGGGCTCTCCAAGCTCAACTGAAGTACCAGGAAAGTTAGAACAAGCCACAAAGAAAGGGAAAGTAGCAGCTTTTTCCCTTGGGCCTGAGAAAGGCTTAAGGCTAGAGGTTCACTAAACAGATCCTGGCTTAGGTATTTTACAGGGCCCCTGGGTCCTGCCCTGGTCCTGTTTAGACAAAACCCCCATGCACACTCACCATTTCTCCTCAATGTGTCGTCTGGGAACAATAAACTAGCATCTTAGGGAGCCTGATTTTACTTCCTTGTCTACCTATGTGCTCTAACACGCCTTCTGCAGTACACACGCAATCTTGACACTGGGGAAGGGGAGGGAAGAGGATCCCTGGGCTCACTAGCTAGTCAGACAAGTCTCATCTTTGAGCTCCAGGTCCAACAAGAAACCCTACCTCAAAACACAAAGTAATCCAGCAGTGATGGCACAAGTCTTTGATCCCAGCACTCGGGAGGCAGGGGCAGGCAGATCACTGTGAGTTTGAGGCCAGCCTGGTCTACATAGGGAGGTCCAGGACAGCCAGAGCTATATGGTGAGACCCAATGCCAGTGGTGGGCTATCCCCTGTCAGTTGTAGACCAGGGAAGTCTCTGAGGTCCCACAAACCATAAAAGCTATTGCAACACCTCTTCTGGGGAAGTCTTTTCCCTAAGAGTTGTAACTCTTACACAGAGTCTTCTCAGGAAAAGTTTTGTTACACAGTATCTGGGTCCTCAGGAGACCTGCAACGTTAGAAAAGCCACCACCATCTTGGTCCAGCCCCACTGGGACTCCTCAATAGTTTTCTCAGCTACAGAGTAGCCTATAGACCTAGATGCCTCTCACAGAATATGATGGTTCCAGCCTGTAATCCAAGCCCTCAGAAGACAGGCCTGAACATGGACAAGTCAAGGCAAGCCTAAGCTATATAGAATTCCATCCCAGCCTGAGCTACAGAGCAAGACCTCAAAATCGTGTGTGTGTGTGTTACTTCTATTTGTGGTTCCCCAAATTCTGCTACTCCATGGGTATTTGACGAAATACTCGTTCTATAGAAGAATCACCATAACTGATCAAGGAGGAAACAGAGATCATGGCCACAAGAACCTCAGCAAGTACCGGATTTCACAACTGTCATAATCTGGAACATTCTCCCACTGTCTTCCCTCAGACTCTGACCACACCCTGTGGAATCATAGACAGGGTCACTGGGAACTCTTGTGTTAGTTTACACAGGTAGAAACAGCTTGCCCTTTGGGGAAACCCCTTCCTAGACATTCCTCTTTAGTATGCCATTCTGACAGACAAGGCTGACTATCTAGGCTGACTGTTTTCAATTGTTAGAAAATGGAGGATTGGGACCTGAGGGTCAGAGAGCTAGGACTGAAGTAGTAAAAAGCAGAAATTATATCATTAGAATCCCTGGGTCCAGTTCCCCCATCTGGCCATCTTTCTTAATGTTGTCACAACAGGGAGCAGTGTTAACGCCTCCCCCACAAAGACAATATAGGTGGAGCTCCTATTCTTGAGTCAACAAAGACTTTATGAGTTGTGTTAAACACACATTAATCAGTAAATACTCAGGCGATCAGTTCACCAAGTCCAAAGAGATACAAACAGACACGAGGTTGGGGTTCTAAGGCAGGTGCTAACTGTGGTCTGTCATAGAATTTGGGCCCTTGTTGGTCTCTTATCTTCACACTTCATTGAAAATCCATTAAAACAACTGCTGGGCCATTAGCCCTGACTTTTAGTCAGAAGTCTCCCTTGGGCACTGTTCTGTGGCTGGAGCTCCTTTATTAATACTTAGTGTAATTGCTTTTGAGGCAGATAATTGTGAGAATGCTGCTTAAACCCGGAAGGGGGCTGGGGGATGGGACCTTTGCATCTTATGTTTAATGCATATGTACCTCATCCTCCTCGGGCAAGACGGCGTATAAAAAAACTGGAATTTCTGAAACAGGGTGGATTACTCAATCTGCAAAAGAATTCACCATAGGCTGTTTTTAAGTTAAGAATTCAAAATTATCTGATTTACAAACTTTCTATATACGAACATCCTTTCCATGTTACTGCTCAAGCATAAATGTCACATAGTATTTGAAAAGCAGAACTGCGATTCTAGTTAGTACACTAGTGACTGCTGACCCCAGAGCTGAAGGTCTGTATTCGTGAACAGGGTAGCCAGAAGTTGCATTTGAAGAAGACTTTGAAGTTTCAGCCCAAAAGCCTAGGGTAGGACTATTAGGCCACCTGTTGGGACACACAGAGCAAGTAGATGAACCAAGGGGTACACTAATTAGAGATGAGAGGACCCTCAGATCAGACTGCAATTCAGACCATTGTGAGTTCATGCTCTTCACAAGGTCTAATACAAAGGGGGGACTTCTGCTTCCAAAACAGAGACTCTCCCCTGCATATCCCAGCCACATCCTACACACTAGCCCAAAACAGAGCTGTTAGAGAGCCTGGGGTTACTAAGGTCTTTGCCCACAGCAGTGGCTTCTATTGCTCCAAACTTAAAGGGATGCGTGTAACACCACCCTCCAAAGCCAGGAGCAACACAGTCTGTCCACTCAGTCAAATAGAATTTGATTTTGTTACTATAAACTAGATTTTGCAAATGGCTTTGTCTTGGGGTTGTTTTTAGAGAAATTCAAGGTCACTCCTCCTTGGGCTCAGATTATCCAGTTGTATTTCCTCTTCTGCTTTTATAGAGCAGAGAGGGTATACAGGTGACAGGCTGAGAATTGCTCAGAAACTGCTATGCAGGCATCTGTCCATGTGTGAGCATCGATTGTCTAAGCAGCAAGAAAAAACCGTCCTAGCATGGCAGCTTCCAGGAGTGGATATCAATGTGGGGACGGGGCTAAAGAGGATGGCATCAGTGTTACTTCAGATCAGAACACTCAATAATAAGCCCCCATCTACCAGGACCATCGTCTCAGAGAAGAATGGAAACAGTGACAGCAGCTAAGGAAGATCATCTCATCATTTCCTCAGAAAGACAGCCAATAGGCTTGGGCTGAATTTACACGTTAAAAACGTTCTGATTTCTCTTATCTCACCACAGACTTGTGAAACTGTTGCTCATGAACCTACAATCACCAGTTCAATAACAAGAACTAAGTTTGTAAGTCCTGACCAGGGCAACAGCCACTAGACCCACTCAGCCAGCAGGCACATGCAGTGTGGCCAGACCCAGCTGAGATGTCCCGTGGATGCTGAATTCACCACACCAGAGTTCAGAAGCTCGGGACCTGGCCTAGGGATGTAGCTCAGCTGTTAGAGGGCCTGTCTAGTGTTCACCAAACCCTGAAATCAGTCCCACATCATAAACCAGGTATGGCGATATGCACCTGCAGCTCCAGAACTCAGGCAGTGGAGGCAGGAGGGAGAGTATTTTAAGGGCATCCTTAGCTACATAACAAGTTCCAGGCCAACTTGGGATACAAAAACCCTGTTGCCAAAAAAGGAATGAAGGAAGAAAGGAAAGAAGGAAGGAAGGACAGAAATAATGTATGTTTCATTATTTTATATTAATTATTCATTAATGTTGAAATAACAGTACTTTGGAGAACTTTACTTGTTAATGTGGTTTGATAATCTTGTTACTAAGTGCCTCCTCCAAGGGCCAGCATCAAGGAATAGACTTTGGTTCTATAAACACATATGCTATAAATTTGGCACTGGAATACCAAATAAATGGAGTCCTGTGTCTGTTTTCATACAGGACAAAGAGTTCAGATGACAACATTCATGTTTGTTGCTAAGATGGGCTTTAAGATTCCCTGTTCCTCCTGGGCGGTAGTGGTATATGCCTTAAATCCTAGCACTCCAGAGGCAGAGGCAGGCAAATATCTGTGAGTTCAAGGCCAGCCTGGTCTACAAAGTGAGCTCCAGGACAGTCAGGACTATTGCACAGAGCTGTCTCCAAAAACAGAACAAAAAAGTCCCTGTTAGTGTGACCACTAGAGGGCAGTAGCAGCGTATATAAAATGTGACTTCATCCACTGTGAGACCCGAGTTCCATGCAGAGCCTCTCCAAGTAATTACTAAAGTCCAATCTTTTCCTCTCCCACTTATGTGCCATGTGCCTGAGGAGAGAAAGACCACAGGGACAGAGTGGAGCCAGAGCTGGCCCTTAAACTGTTAGGCTCGGAGGAAGACCTTGCTGTGAAAGAAAGTGAATGTTCAAAGGCAAATGTACAAAGCCCCAGGCTGTGGAATCAGGTTTGCTTCCCTGGCTCAGCTACTAACAAGATGCATGGCCTGAAGCAAATCCCTTGGCCCCTGCTTCCTCCACCCCCACCCCTACCCCTGGAGTGAGGAGGCGGAACAATGTGAACTTTAACAGTCCCAACATCAGTGTTCTGCAGTTTCCAGGGTAAACCCTGAGGCCCTGTTATAATAGGTTTGATGGTCGTCTAAATGAGTTCTAATTACAGGACTTCCAGGCACAGTAGTATTTACTGTAAATCCATGATTCAAGGGCTCCTCCAAACACTTAGCAGTAATAGATAAAATGGAAAAAGTTTAAAGCCAAAGCTGAGGATGGTTCAGTTAGTGAAGTCTAACTGAGAACTAGTTAGTAACTGAGTTCAGTTAGTGAA